GTTTGCAGACCATATTTATTCTACATAATCCATGAAGGAAGAAACCAAGTTTCTGTTTTCAGAACTGAATACATCTATATAAACAGGTTATTAGTAAACATGGTTTGTAGCTCTACTTAAAAGAAATGCCTTTAGATAATTGCATGTCCTCTGATTAATATTTAGCTCTTCACAACTCATCATGTTAAAACTTGCAATCCAATTCTCACACTGGCTATTCTAGGATTTACTTGAGAATTCTTAAGTGATGGATAAGCTTACCATCTCATCACTTACAGCCTCCATCAGGGCCTCAGTGGAGCTGGTGTGGCTGAGAGCTGGCGTACGGTCAAGCTCCCAGAGCCAGTTAACAGCAAACTCTACAGAACATTCAGTCACTGGAACGGCTTTCTGCTGCCACTTGATAGGATCTTGAGCAGCCCTAAAAGTGACATTAGCTGCAAGTCAGAAGTAATAAAGAGCCACTAGAAATGTACAGCAGCTGAGTTCAAAATGATTCCACTGTGCTAGACCTTTAATAATAATAAACCCCGACATGCTGCTAAAACCTAACCAGTAATAAGATAAGGCCAGGCAAAACAAAACCCTCCACAATTGTTAATATAATTTGCTCAAGGCAGAAGCTTTTATGGCTTAGAATGATTCAAATAGTACAGATGCTTTAAAATCAGTTTCTAGAACATATTTATCCTTCAATATACACCATTTAAAAAATCTATCTGATTGTGTAGACTGGTAGAAGAGACAAATATTCTAAACTACTGCTTCCCAAACTTTTCCTCCGCATGACCCCATTTATGACCCCATTTCCTCAGCATGGCCCCTCACTCCCAATCTGTAGCAGGGGCACCCCTTCCCCAGGTGCCCCTCGCTCCCCACCCACAGCCCACACCCCCTAGCCCTGCTGGTGCCCTTCTGGTGCTGGTGCACAGAGCCCTGCTTCTCCCCGCACCCCTTCCCACCTGTGGGCAGCACGGCTAGAGTGGAGCCCATGGGCAGAGGATGCAGGGGCCTCTGCAGCCCAGTGGGCAGAAACCAGTGCAGAAGGGAGGGGAGGCTTAGTACCAGGAGCCCCACGCCAACCACACCACCATGGTGAGGTGCCCCCTGCCCACCAGGCAGCGGCAGCAGCAGCAGCACCGCTGAGTTGTGCCCCCTGCTGCTGCCAGGTGGGTAGGAGGTGCCTTGCCATGGTGGCATGGCTGGCATGGGGCTCCCAGCATCAGCACTGAGCTTCCCCACCCTGGTGTGCTGCGGAGGCCCCGGAGGGAGGCAGCAGGGTGGGGAGCCCCAAGCCTGCAGCCTGTCGCCTGCATCTGCCCCCGTCCCACACACACATCTGGGGGGCACATCTACCCCATGCCTCCCTCCCCAGGAGCGTGTGACCCCACTTTTTTATTGCTGCAACCCCAAATAGGATTGTGACCCCAAGATTTGGAACTGCTGTTCTAAACAATGGGAGATAAATACTGTAATGTATATCCAGTTGGGCCCAGAAAACAAACAAATGAGAAAAGGCATGGTCCACCACTTAAATCATATTTCTGAATGGGAAAATCTGAGTTTTACTCCTCCTCACTGTGTCACTTTTATGATGAATCATTTTTAACAACTCCATGTCATCTGAAAATAGAGGTTAATACTTACCCGCCTTTCAAGCAAAGAGTTGGGATGCTCAGTTCATTAATATTTTCAAAAAAGGCTTGTGACTTTTGCATTTGAAGGCATAGATAGGTGAAGTATGCAAGTATGTGCAAATCTATGTGGGTGTGTGTGTGTGAGAAAAAAGAAAAAGGAAACTAAATAGTGCCTACTAGTAGAATTGCCATCTGTGGCAGGTATCTGTGGCATGTATCTGTGGCATTCCAGAAAGTAATATTCTGGAGAGTTTCTAGCTAACCTTCATGACCAGGTCTGCAGACTTTTTTTAAAGGGAACATTTTAAAGTCCATTGGGGAAGAGAAGAATTGAGCACATTAGGGATCTAGAATCAAGTCCATATCATAATTCATGGGCAGAATGACTGGAGACAGCTCAACCTAGTTGTTACTAGGCTTTCTGGACTCAGTAATCATAACAGAGTCAAATTTTGCAATATTCATAATTTGCAAGTACATAAATTCCCGTCCCCCTATATGCATACAAATCTGAATGTGTCTGTGCAAAGACTTACCGGAATATGGTAGCATAAATCAAAATTTGTGCACGCACATGGATTAGAAAATTTGTCAAAACTTTTCTTTTTCACTAAACACAAATTAATTTACTCATACTCAGAAAGGAACAATGGCCTTGTTTTTACAGCACTGGACTGGGACTTAAGATCTGGGTTCATTCCCTAACTGCTTTCTAGTTTCTTGTGTGACCATGGTTAAAGTCACTTAAACTCTTTGCATACTAGTGTTCCAGCTGTAGAGTATATATATTAATACTTCCTTTCTCCAAACCTTTGTCTTGTTTATTCGGTTCTCCAGAGTAAGGATTGTTTCTTATTGCATGGATACACAGGACCTGGCATAATGCTGTGCTGAATATGGTGGGACCCACTAGGCCAGGGGTGGGCAATTATTTTGGGCGGAGGGCCACTTACTGAGTTTTGGCAAGCCATCGAGGGCTGCATGATAGGCAGCCAGGAGCAGATAAATATTAATTTTCTAAATTTTTTAGGGGCCCCACAGGCCAGACAGAATTGCCTGGTGAGCCGCATCTGGCCCCTGGGCCACATTTTGCCCACCCCTGCACTAGGCCCTACCAGAACACAGATGCTTTCTCCTGTATTAAACATATCATCAGAATATACATATCTATATGCTAGTGGACTTTATCTTATACTTAATCAGTAAAAGATAAGCAACCTTCCCCTTACCGAATGAGGTTAAATTTGGCAAGGTGGGTCACTTGTTCCAAGAGGACCAAAGAAAGTGCATCACGGCACCGATCAAACTCAGTCCCAGGCATGGCGCCAAAATCCAAAACAATGATAATGCATTGTTCCTGAATCACTCCAAATATCTGCCGGCTTTCACTGGTTAACCATTCCATTCTCTGCTTGTACAGCTCGATAGCTCCAGTTAGACAATCCACAAAATGAAGAATTAGCTCCTTTTTGGCGGTCAGCTTTATTTACGTAAAAGAGAGAGTGAAAATGAACATCAAAACAAATAACTCAAATGCAGCCCTAAGTTCAGAACAGCTGTGATAGTTCATTTATAATTGCCAGATATTCCAGCCAAGGTAGCAGTGAAAACAACCATGCTTCCTCCACTATTTCAGGGGAGTAAATAATTGATAAATGTGTCTAAGTTACTCACATATAAAAGAAAAGCCACTGTTCTTTCTCTTAATTGCCCTCCACAGTCTTTTTAAACAACCATAGGACAGTGCCAACTAGTCTGTATTGCTATTCTGTGATCAGATGAGAGCAAGCTCAGGGAATTAATCCTTTCTCCTTACTGACTGCTGTTTACAGCACAGAGGGATGGGTGAACCAGGGCACATAGAAACTTGTTAGAGTCAAACAAAATTTTGACTTGCTTCTAAAACACTTGGAAGGGAGGTAGACATGGGATAAGGGAACAAGCGGTCTCAGTCTTGTCTTTAACTATCAGCTGAATGGAAATTAAAAATGTTTCCTTGATGAGCCACTGTTTCTATCTAGGATGTCCAACACTGAGCACCACAAGAACCTAAATATTAATTGTTGGATATTTGATACACATTTGAGACATAAATGCAAATAAAAACAATGTTCCCACAAGTCCCAAACCCACCAGTAAACTAATGCAAACCCAGAGCCAGTACTGGAGAGAGAAATAATTGTAAAACAAAGCAGTTTTTATATACAGAAACCACTAAATAATTCTGTGGCCCTTATAACACTCACCTCAGGCTCTAGGTAAAGACTTCCTGCAACACCTGTAAGGTAATGTATGTGTCACCCCTTTACTTATCCCACAAGTTCTCCAACAGAGAATACAAATATTTGGAAATTTAAAAGGTTTCTAAAATAAGATTCCTCTGGAAATAGAAGATTTGAACTCTAATTCACAGTGTCATCTTGCAAACTTCTGCCTCGGATTCCTACTTTACTTTATCTATCAACTGTAGCCAAGTAATCTCCCACAAGACTAGGCAGGACTGTCATGCTGGAAGGCCCCTCAGGTAACAATATCATATAATCCTGTTCATAAATCGATCAAGCACATTTTAAAAGCAGTTTTGTGCCTGCACTAGTCCTAGTGGAAGGCTGTTGCAAAATTTCACTCCTCATATTTCCACTTTAAATGTAGAAATGGGCAGTTTATACCTATTTGTTCATTTTTCAGGAGTCTCCATCTTTAGCGGCACATCCCCCATCTCAGCTTTCATTTCAGTACGCTAAACAAGCTAAGCTCTTCTAGGTCTCTTCTGGAATGGCAGACTCGCCCTTCCCTTCATCTTAATTGTCCTTTTCTGCACTTGTTCCAGATCACATTTACCTTTGTCAACCATGGGTAACTGGAACTGTGCACAGTGTGCCAAATGAGGTCTCACCAGGGCCTTGCAAATGGCAGTCATACTTCCTTAACTGCCTCTCCTGATAAAACCTAGAATGGCATTTCGTGCCATCAAAGGATGCATCAGGAGATCATCTGTAAGTGTTAAAAATGTAGTGGGAAGAAAGACAATGAAATAAAGATCTTTCGAGGTCCCTTCCAGCCCTAATGTCTATGAAATCTATGAAGACTCCCCGGAATTGTTTTTACCCAATTTTTACACCCAGTGCCTAGTAACTGGGAAATGATGATGGACATCAGAAGATGATATGCAATTTGTTTCATAAAGTGTTTACTCTTATGAATTAGCTTTTTTATTCCTTCTGGCTGCTGCACAGATTTATTCAACCAGTATCTATCTTTCAATAATGGAGCAGTCGGCAGCTGTTACTAAGACATTCTTTAGAAATGTGCGTCTGGGCACAGTTCCATCAAGTTGTGGTTATACCACGTCTTTTGTGACCTGCTGGTACTAAATGCTAAGGGAATGACAGCATATTATGTATCCTCATTTCATCATCTCCATTTGTTTTACTGGTTAGCATTCTGTAAAACTAAATTGAGTCTCATTTCCATTTAAAACTGTGTAAATTCTGTTACTTAGAAACTGCAACCTTCTCTTGAACACTGTATTCTAAAGCTTCATCAGGGCTAGTGTATCAGCATCCATCAGGAAGAAAGAAAAAGAAACCTGGTTTCCATACCATTAATCACTTGGCACAATAGAAATAAAAGAATCAAAAGATAAAGATTCCACACGGGAAATGCATGAGTTTCATGTCTGCATCCTTTTAGGAGAAGGAGACACTTCAATCACATTGTTCTGTTGTACTGATATTATCTTTTAAATGGAAACCAGTTATTACTCTAGTGAACCACAGTCAGTTGCACTTACATTATATACTCTGCCATCCTGGGCTCTCATGTACTGAGGAAAAAGACCATCTGCATACCGTGAAGCCACGAGTTTCCCCAAGGTGGACACATAATCTACATTAAAGATCACAAATGGTCAAGTACGCAGTTTACAGATTATTTTCACTATGCACTGTTTTTCTAAATCATATGCAACCAACCAGAAGATTAACTCTACCCCTTTTCTTAGATGCTTTGCTTCTCATGAAACAAATACTGTAATATTTTTATAGGTATTGTTAACAAGGTTTAGAAAGGTTCTATTTATACTTAATTTTTTCAATTAGTCCCACCTCTTAGAATCAATGTTGTCCATGTCTACCTGGGAATTTTAAAAAATGTATTGACTTGTTAACAAGTTACAAGGTAAATGGAACTTTGGCAATTTTAGATTTAAGCCATTCAACTCCTGTTTCTCCATTTGCCTCTTAATTGCAATGCAAGATTTTCGCTAAAAAGGAATCTAAAATTTTGCCTCAAAAATACCTTCCCATTATACACTTGGGCAGGAAGAAATGTGAACAAAAGCTGAGGAAGAAAAATCATGCTACGCTCCCCTACAGAAATCCCTCTATATAGCTAGAACTCCATATTAGGAATATATTGGGGTGAAAATATTTAAAATCCACACAAGCATCTATTATCTTCAGCACTTCCTCCTGCTGGTACTTTCTACTGGTAAATCTATACTCTAAGCAGCATTAACCCCTCTCTGACACTCCTAGCTCCCTCCCCAGTGAGGGGTCATTGTACAATCCCTGGAGTCTCTGTTAATGACAACAGAGCTCCTATCAGGGGAACATACAGAATTTCAGGATCTGCTCTGTTAGCCTCTGAATTCAGCATGGTTCCAAGCCATCTGAATTCTTAAACTACACAGTCTAAACAATTATTAATATAATACAACTCCTACTTCTTTGGCCATAAGCTCTTCATAGCAGAGAATGCTTTGCCATGCTCTGTAAAGCACTGTTATAAAAACAATAATTTGTAACAAAGGCTCCAGTTTGCTGTCACATAACTGAAAACAAGCAGTTTTCTATTGTAGATCTGGACTTTCGAATGAAAAACAGCCTCAGTTCAAAATCAGATATAATTATCTGTCCAAAATGTATCTTTGGTGAAGACAGGTATTCAAAAATGTTTTGGCTAGCTGTGCAGTTCAACTGGTAGCAAGAGTTTCACCTTGCAGCTATGGAGAGATCTATCTATTTTCCTATGACACTGTCATTTTCCAAAGACATTTCCTGTACTGATTCTGGAATTGTCAGTATCTCAAGTTATATAACAACTGCAGCCAGGCAGGAGAGAACTCTCGGGATTGGTGCAAGAATGAAGAAAGTACTGGTGGAAATTAAAGAGAATAGTTTTTCTCTCTGCTCAAGTAAGTGAAAAGCTATGCAATACAGGTACTCCCCCAGTACTCTGAAGTGGAAGAGAAAGGAAGCTGAATGTGACTTCCCTTTCCCCACTCTATATTATCAGGGAAAAGGAGACTGTTTTAGAAGCTCCACAACATACACTGTGGGAAAAGAAAGGGAAGGAAAAGGTAACAAAAAAAGAAAAGCAAAGCAAAGCAGCTACTGTGCTCTGGATTATTCCAAGTCAAGTTTTAGCTTATACCATTGATTTGCATTATACCTTCCCTGTGCTGAAATCCAATTTGTGATAAAATCTGAGAAAGGGATAGCTTGTTTCTCTTAAGCCCATAAAGTTGAAGCCACTTAGAAGATGAAATGAGAGGTTGTACATCCAAGTCCCACTGAATTCTCTTAAGTTTCATGTCTTTTTCTGTAGATTTTCCCTTGGCCACAATGTGAGAATCATTTTTTTCTTGTTCTCCATGTTTTACATCAGAAGTAACCACTACAAATGAATGGAGGGGAAAAACATGAGTGTTTGTTGATACTTAGCAAAAAGTGTTGATTCACTCCCTGCATTCCTTTTTTTCCACCAGGTTTTTTTCCAAGGCTTTTTTTTATAATTCTCTGACAACTCTCTCAGATACACACACTTACTACTTTACTATTCCTCTTTCTTTCATACGTATTCATCTCTTTTATACTAGGTTTATCACTACAAACTGTTCATTTTAAGACCCAAATGTTGGAAGACTATACCCAGTCTGCCAGAAAGCAATCCTTCAGACCTTTCAAAATCTCACCTACATAGCAGTAAAGTGCACTTGAAGATTGTCAGTGAATCATAACATGCCCTTCAGAAGCTTTGTACTGTGTATCAACCAGGAAGACATAAAATGACTACTTTTCAAGGTACTCACAGTAATTCCAGGCAAGCTTCTTGCAGGGCTTGCTAGTCATTCTGGACTTGTTGATTTGCAGATGCTCTTTCAGGTCTTCTTAAAAACCTGAATAATTAAAAACAGACAGACATTATTTAATACAGTACTGGGCCCAATTAGGATTGTAACCCAACTGTTCTGGGCAATTACATATAGAAAAGACAAGCCACGCTCCAAAGAACTTGCAACACAGAATCCAGTCTTGATGATACACACATAACTTTATTCATAAGAATAATTTTATCACCTTCAATAAGACCATCAAACAAGATACAATTATGCATATGTGTACTGCAGTACCAGATCCCACTTATGGGAAAGAGGCAAACAGCAGGTGTAGAAAAAATGCTGAAGGGTGAGGTAAAGGTGAGAGCAACAGGACCATATGGTTGCATATATCAGTGTAATTTTTAGGCTTCATGATTTTTAATTTGTTTACTTTTTCTTTTTTGATACATAAGATGAATGAACAAGAGAGATTTAGTCACTGACTAGACAGCTGCCTAACTATTGTCATCAGGCAGCCTTACCATTGTCATTATTGCAGAGATGAGATGAAAAATAAAGGTAAATCTGTTCTAAAAAAATAACATCAGCCCTTTTCTTCTTTATAGAATCAAAAGCATTATTTTTACCAGATAACAAGCATTTTAAAGACACATTCTAAAATATACCAACTGCTTTAGTCTTTGTTCTACTCGTGGAAAAAAATGCAATACTAAAGACAGAGGCAACCTTAGTTCTTAGGGGCCCTGGTAACAAAACAAAACAAAAAACATAAGCAGCCCTTCCTACAACCTGACGTATCAAACATTCTTCATAATAATTTTATTTTAGTATAATAAAATTATCAGGGTTTTACTGTCTGCTTCTGAAGAACAACCAAATAAAATATGCCTAGAGAGCAGTGACTTGTGTGATTTCTAAGCAGGAAAACAGAAACAAAGGCTAGCTGTTATAGCAGCTTTGTATTAACAACTGATCAGCATTTCAAACAGCATTCTGCATTTGAGTTATAGATGCCAGATGCCATCTCCCTTTACACAGGTCCAGAGGTGTGACTATAACTTTTCCTTCAATATCATTATACAAAACTTCTGCCCATCCCATTTGAGCAGTATCTATGTGTTAAGTGCTAGCATTTTATGAAAAGAAACATTTGGGAAGAACATGTAATGGCTCCAGTGCAAAACCGTACATTCACTAAGGCCAGATACAGGTATTACACATAAACTGGTCTAAATGATTGGAAAGCGATCTAAACCCATAACCACACAGAAGTTCAGTGTACACTGACTGGTCTAAAAATGGAGAAACCTGGTGTAAGATAGACCTGGATCAATGTGCTCTCAAACTTAATCAATTAGGTTAGACAAGTGAATTGAAATTCTGTACCAGAGTAAAGTCCAAGGAAAGGCAAACTGGTTCAGAAAAAGATGACTATTGTGTTAAGCCTCAATTCAAACTTTAGACCAAACCAGACTCTTTTAATAAGGTGAATAAGAATTCATGTAAGTATTTCTTTCATTTCCTCCTGCCTGATGCCAACAAGTCTCTTAAACCTTCCCTTGTCCTGCATTTAACAGATGCGGCAATCTGAGCTAGAAGAAGACTTACAAATGCACAAACTCCTTGGAAAAGCCTGAATGTTTTCTGTAGAACTACACAGAGGCCACCTGAGTACCAAACCTTAACCTGGGGGTTAAGGTTTGGTAAGAGAACAAGGAAAGAAAGCGTAAAGTACCCAGATGTTAGGGCAGTGAGTCTGGGTCTGGGTCTGGGTCTGGGACAGACATTGCTTAAACCAGTTTGACCCAAATCATTAAAGTCTGATACTACATTCAACCAGGTTTATCTCAAACCGGTTTCAGCTATTTTCAACCTGGTTTATGTGCAGTGAACATCTGTTCTGTTACGGGTTTAAACCAGTTTCTGATTACTTAAACTGGTTTATGTGTAATGTCTGTCCTAAAAGGGTATTTTAGACTCAAGCCACCCCTTGGGAAATGGGCTTCCACTGATTTTCAAGCACGGAAAAATATAAGAGCAATTCTTCTGGTGCAAAGAACTCAGAGGAGCAAAATGTTGTTGGCCTGCCGGATTCCTATTTGGGTTTACCCTGGGAATCATGCACGAGATGTTTCCAGATCTCAGAGTGCTAATGCCGAGTGGCACCCTTAGGATTTCATAGCACCCTGGTTGAGAACTGCTGCCATGGTGAGCCATTTCCAGCAAACCCTAGGGCATTGGTAATGTGTAGGGGGGTGCATGCGGGTGCATACGCACTCCCTGAGATTGGCAGTGCACCTCCTAAGACAAGCACCACTGACGCTGATGGTGGCACCTACGGGTGGTCACTGCTCGCTGCCACCCCCCATGCCAACACTGCTGGTGGCATCTGCAGACAGTCCCCAATTGCCACTGGCCGCCGCCAACTGCATCTGTCATCAACGACCGGTAAACCACTCTCCACCCCCGCTGCCTACAGGAGCTCCCTGCTCACTGCCACCACACCCCCGCCCCTGCCGCCTGCGGGCAGTCGCTGTGCCCCCCCAGTCCAGGAGGGCAGCAGATTGTCAACGGGGGAGGCCCCAGTCGCTGACCAGGGGAGTCCCCCAGTGGCCAAGCCAGTGGCAAAACTGGAAATGCACTTCTGGTTTCATGGCAGGCACTTCCAGGGGGTGCATGGCCGATCTCAGGGGGTGCACGTGCACCCCGTATGCGTCGCCAATGCACATAAAGGGAGGGTCTCACGCATCCTGGCGCCAAGCAAAAGCAAAGGCCCTGAGTCTGAGAGGGTGTGGGTCCAGGACTTGATTTCCAGGCAGCCTCAGGGCGCTGTTCACCACCAGGGGGGCGCCTGTTCCCTGCTTCCCCAGCCCGGAGAGGGGCTCAGAGCTGCCAAGTGCCCCGGGGGATGCAGTGGGGGAAGAAAACATGGGTCCAAGCACCTCGGGGGACGCCCTGGCTGCAGGCCCCGCGCGGGCCGGGTTGGGCTGGGCTACAAGTGCCTTTGCCCCCGAGCTGCATGGCGGGGCGAGTGCCCCGCAGCCCCCGAGAGAGTGGGAGAGGCTCAGGGTGAGATGCAGAGCCTCGGCGAGACCGTGCGCCCTGAGCCACCTGCAGCGGGAGGCTGATTCAGCACATAGGGAGAGTGGAGGAAGGGGAGAACTTCTTTCTTTTTTTCTTTTTTTTAATTAGTATATACTTTAATGAGTATAGGTATTCTGGTTCAAATCAGTGCCAAATCCTATCGACTGAGGAGGAGAGGGCCGGGTCCATCACCTAGCTGTAGAGCAGAGGATCCAAGAATGAGAGTTGTAGTCAGGGCCCTCCTGCGGTCCCTTCCATCACCCCAGCCAAGGCTTTGTCCAGCAGGGTCATAGAAACCTCTATGGATGGAGACTCCACCACCTCTATGGGAACCTGTTCCAGTGCTTTGTTACCCTTCTCCTGAGAAAGTTTTTCCTCGTATCCAACCTAAACTTCAGGGAGCCCAGCCTGTTGCTCCCTGTTCTGTCACCTGCCACCACTGAGAACAGTCCCATTCCATCCTCTTTCAAACCCCCATTCAGGGAGTTCATAGATATTTAGGGTCGGAAGGGACCTCCATAGATCGAGTATGACCCCTGGCCCTGGGCAGGAAAGAGCGCTGGGGTCAGATGACCCCAGCCAAGTGCTTCTCCAGTCTCAAGACCTCCAGGGTAAAGGAGAGCACCACCTCCCTTGGAAGCCCATTCCAGACTCTGGTAACCCTTACTGTGAAGAAGTTCTTCCCAGTGGTGACATGCAGGAGGTTAACAGGGGTGCACATGCACCCCCTGAGAGTGCTGGTGCACTTAGGTGATGGCAGGGGGGCAGGCAGGAGTGCCAATGCCCCCCCTGCAAGCGCCAACCGATCGCTGCAGCCACTTCCTCCCCTCCCCCCGGTCCGCAGGATCACTCGTGGGGAACCTGTCCCGCCCCGGGTCGGTGGGACTGGTTAGAGGGGGGCATGTGCCCCCCGACTGCAGTGACATCAGTTGCCCATGGCTCTTCCTGATGTCCAATCTGAGTCTGTTCTCTGTCTGTGTGTGGCCATTGTTTCTAGTTACCCCAAGGGGTGCCCTGGTAAACAGAGTTGAAGGCTGTTACTAAATCCCTCCTCCATCTTCTCTTCTCTCCACTAAATAAACCCAGTTCCCTCAGCTTCTTCTCATAAACCATGTGCCCCAGCCCCCTAACCATTTTTGTTGCTTTCTACTGGACTCTCTCCAATTTGGCCACATCCTTTCTGTAGCAGGGGGCCCAAAACTGGACCCAGTACTCCAGATGTGGCCTCACCAGTGCCGAATAGAGGGGAATAATCACTTCCCCCAATCTGCTGGCAATGCTGGTATTAATGCAGCCCAGTATGCTGTTAGCCTTCTTCACCCCAAAGGCACACTGATGATAGGTACCTTTCCAGAGCCTTACCAGCCCTGTTCTCCCAGACCCTACAGACCAGCAGAGCTTATATGAGACCTCTGCTGTGCAGGGTTTATACCAGCAGTTATCAACTGGGGGCCACAGGAGGTGCGCAGAAATCCTCTCAAGGGTGCAGCAGGATGCCACACCATTAGTAAGCACAGTTAGGTATGCTCACGTGGTGCACAAGAGAAATGGAAGGCAGGGTAAGCATATAACTTACAAAATTCCATAAGTGAAAACAAAAAGCAGACTTCTGTGGAATACTTTCCCCGTTGATATTCATGCTTATACAGAAATCTTGTCCCATTTAGCAATAATAGCAAAGGGAAAGCAAAGGCTGCTCCTGCTTTGCAACTTTATTTAATGTGTGCATGCATACTTGTACCAAGAGACATCAAATAATGGTGGCTTTTTGTTTCCCCTCTTGCTGTATTTGGTTAGTAGAGAAGGATAGAAGAGAAAAGCTCCTTATATAGCATACAGTTCAGACACGCACATTCTTCATTTCTTATTTGCAAACTGGGTGCTTTTTCTTTTCCTAGATCTCAAGCTGAGAGTTTAAAGACTAGCCCAGAAATGAGACATCAGTCTTGCTTATACAACTATCCCCTAAGGTGCAA